ACACAGCAACACCCATCCAGAAAAGGCTGTGGAGAACAGGACTGGCTATGGCCAGCCTGAGACCCGCTGCCAAAGACAGAAGCTGCAGCAGGGACTCTGGAGCTACAGTAGGAACATCTCAGCATCTGCTGCTGCTTTCTGGTGCAGTGGGTTACTAGCAGTGCTCTTCATGCTCCAGTAAGAACATTTTAAAAGCTGAATGGTGGCATTGGCCACTATCATGCACATGGGAGGTGCTGCAAGGGTAAGGGTCCTGAGAGGATATGGTGCTGCAAGGGCACTCTCCCTCCAGGGCCTTCCTTGTTTTGATCCTGAAGACATTCCTGGTGCCGAGGAATGCCTGTGCACACCATTGCCAAACCCAGTGGCCATGGCAGGCTACAGCACATCCCCTTCATGTGACCTCCATGGTAGCCATGCCTGGGACCACCTCTGGATTTCAGGCATGAGTGAGACAGCTGCCACATCTCTGTCCCCAGTCACTCCTAGTGACAGACTGGACAGGGGACTCTTCTGCCCAGTGGTGCCAGGGAGGTGGTCACTCCTCTTTCACTTTTCTCCCTGCTTAGCTCTGTCCCCCCATACCTTTGCAGGTGCCTGGGAGCAGTGCTCTCCAATCACAGTCAGTCCCTAGGCCGAGGCATCCTGGCAGAGCTGGTGCGGCCATGCTCCCTGACAGGCCCAGGGAGCTGTGCCCCAGTGTGGCAGGGCTGCACTGTGTTCCTCTGCCAGCACCACCCACTTGGCTCCACATCTCAGCTAATACTTGTGCAATAAGTAGAATTTCACAGGGAATGACAATGTCACAGCAGCCTTCCCACATACCTCCAGAATTCTCCCATCTCAATGCCCTCCTGCCTGCATGGCTCTGGTGAGCACCAGCTGGTTCTGTCCAGCACCATCCCCCCGGTTCTGTCCAGCACTGTCCCCCTGGTGATGTCTGGCACTGTCCCATGGGTGCTGTCTGGCACTGTCCCCCTGGAGCTGCCTGTGGGCTGAGTTAGAGGCACCTGCAGCTGTGTGCCCGTGGCTGGCACTCGCAGGCTGGGCTCCTGGCATGCCCTGCCTCACTGTGCCATGGTAGGCAAAGGCCGTGGGCTGTGCTGTGCTATTCTGTGCTGCTCCATGCAGAGGCTGTGCCATGCTGTACCAGGGCCAGGCCATGCCGTGCCATGCTTTGCTATGCCATGCCTGGGGCCTGGCCAGAGCCCAGTAGGGCGTGGTGTCTCTTCTCTCTCTGCGATGGGAAACTGCCTGGCTGCTGGTGGCCCGTGCCTGCCCGGGGGTCCCACTGCCTCCCTGCTCCCGGTGGAGCCAGCCCCGAGCCGGATCCGTCTCCCCGATGCGGTGCAGGGTACCCGGGTTTGGCACCACCTCGCAGGTCCCCGGCCGGCCCCAGGCACTGCCGGGGGTCGCAGCACCGGGCCGGCCCGGCGGGGCCAGGGCTCGCTGTCGGGGCTGCAGATCCGCTCGGGAGAGGAGCCCGTCACGGAGCCACTGAGCCCGGCACCGGGCAAAGCTCAAGAGGACCTTCGGTTAGAAGGAGCCGCCAGGCTGTGCGGGACCGTGCGGAGCCGTGCGGGGCTGTGCTGGGCTCTGTGCGGGGCTGTGCTGGGCTCTGTGCTGGGCTCTGTGCGGGGCTGTGCGGGGCTCTGTGCTGGGCTCTGTGCGGGGCTGTGCGGGGCTGTGCTGGGCTCTGTGCTGGGCTCTGTGCTGGGCTCTGTGCGGGGCTGTGCTGGGCTCTGTGCGGGGCTGTGCGGGGCTCTGTGCTGGGCTCTGTGCGGGGCTCTGTGCTGGGCTCTGTGCTGGGCTCTGTGC